ACAAAGCAATGTTATCCTACAAAACTTGTTGGTGATGATTTGTTACAGGCATTCTCTATTCCAACACCAGTTCCACCACCATTGTCACTTTTGCCTCCAATTTTCCCACCACCCCTCAAGGGTGGGAAATTATACCTCCATAATAGGCCCACAGTAATTTACTTTATAGTGTTTGTTACGGATAAATTGCTAATGAAATGATCAAAATGTATTTCCTTAGAAAAAAATTAGTGTAAATTGTATCTCACCATGGAAACATTAGTCTTGTATGAGATTACTAAAATGTTGTTACAGATTAAGCCTTCTGTATTACTGTTTGGTTAGTCAAATGGGTTGCCTTCTGTGTTACATCCCATCCAATCTGGTCTGCTACTACTGGATAGTCAGTGTTGTAGAATTTGGAGATGTTGCACGGCCGCAAAGTGGCCTCACGCTCCAGGAAGTCCTGAATTTTTAACCAGGTGGAGGCTTTGGGGTGTGGATGTGACTGCCTGGACTTCTGGAAGTATAGGGAGATGGGGGGAGGTAGTCCATTCCAACCTCCAGAAAGTTAGGAGATTTCAGTCACAAAGACCTGCATACCCAAATTCTCAGCAGTTTAATTTCTAGGTGAGACTTGGTTCTAAGACAGCGGAGTCTGGCCAGAGACATGGTGGAGATTTTTCAGTGTGGGAGCAAGCGGCTTGGGGGCTCTGTTTTGGTGGGGCACTGGACCAACTTGCCCCCACTTCAGGGTGTCCCAGATATCTCAGCCTGATCGGGTGTCTGAGAATATTTTTTGTAGCAAGCTAATCTCTTTCAAAATTTATTTGAGTCTCTGAAGCAAGGTTGGTAGATGAGCTTACATGGTATCAGAAGTGGTTCCCCAAACATTTTTAGATTTTATCAGATTATAAATAAGATTGTTGTGGGGCCATACCTGATAATACTCAGGGCTTACTCCTAACTCTGTGCCTGGGAATCACTCCTGGTAGGGCTCAGGGACCGAATGGAGTGCCGGAGATCAAACTCAGGTTGGCCAGGTTTGCCAATACAAGGCAAGTGCCCTACCTGCCATACTATCTCTCTAGCCCCTCATGTCTTATTTATATATGAACTATAAAAATTATTTCTTAGATTTCATTACAAGTAATAGTATATGAAACTTATTTGCATATATGTTTTTCTTGATAGGTCAAGAACTTATCTCTTTGAATCATTTAGTGAGTATGTTTGATTTTTCTTTAGTCTTTGCATATATATATTGAAGACCTGTCATGTGGCAGCTGTGTCCTGGACCCTGGGATAGAAGTTGGACAGTCAGTGTCCTTAATCACGACTATCTGGTGACTCAGACAAAAGAACAACCGTTCCTTTGTCATTACGTGTCCTCTACAAAAGTCTGGCACTAATATATAGTTGTACCCTGGCCAAGCTGGTGGATATATGGTCCTCAGTGTCATTTTGTCATAGAATTGATGAGAAAGAAACACTCCCAGTCAACATTCAGTTAAATGGTATTATTTCAAAACCTCATTCTACTGTACTTTATATCTGGTTCTGTTCTAAGTTCATCTTCAAGAACCTGTCAATGGTTCTGAGTGAGTCCTGATGTGCTCCCAGCAGCACTCGCCGATCTAAGGGGAGGCCTTCATATTCTGACCCAAGTCTGTTAGATATAAAGGATTACTTACCGAAGAATACGTTATGTTTTTTAAATATATAATTCAAATTTTACCTCTTGGTTTCATAGTCACAATTCCAGAGGTGGGAGTGTGTGCGCACGTGTGTAAGGATGTGTGTAGGCTTTAAGAGAGTGAGCAGAAGACTGGCCATACTGACACTGGACATTGAAATGGGCGCTCTTTTCAGAAAAGAAATTTAAGTATTAATTAATTTGACGTTATAAAACATAAGAGGGTCAGGGAGATGCTCACGGAAGGTCCAGCACCCAGTGAGCCCCTGAGCATCGCAGGGTACAGACTGAGACACCTGGGCATAAGACTGTGCTGCCTGGCTGAACATCACCAGCAGTGACCCCAGAGCCCATCCACCCCCACCCACAGCACCACTGGAGGTCTTTTTTTTTTTCTTTTTGGGTCACACCCAGCGATGCTCAGGGGTTATTCCTGGCTCTGCACTCAGGAATTATTCCTGGCAGTGTTTGGGGGACCATATGGGATGTCGGGTATCAAACCCAGGTTGGCTGCGTGCAAGGCAAATGCCCTACCCGCTATGCTATCGCTCCAGTCCCACTGACACCTTTTTTTTAAATATTAAAATATGAAGGAGCCAGAGTACAGCAGGTAGGGCGTTGCCTTACACATGGCTAACCTGGGTTCAATTCCCACCACCCCATATGCCTATGTGGTCTACTGAGCCCCGCTAGGAGTGATCCCTGAATGCGAAACCAGGGATAAGCCCTGAGGAATGCCACCAGGTGTGGCACCCCTCCAAAAGAAAAAGAAGATTGAGAGAGGTAGTACAGTATTGCCTTGTATATGGATGGCTCCAGTTTGAGCCCCTACATCATTTAAGATCCCAGAAGTGATCCCTGAACTTAGCAAGGAGAAGCATCTCAGCCCTGTTAGGTCTGGTTCCACCCCGCAAATTTAGGGGGCCACAGGGTGATTCAGAAGACCAGGCACTTGTATGTAGCCAACTCAGTTCTATTCCTGTCACCATATATGGTCCCCTTGAAATGCAGAATGAGGCTCTGGGTTTGATACCTGGCACAGTGCAGGGCTGAAGGTCGATGGACAGTGTTCCATCTATTCATAGGCCTGACACCACTCAAGGGACAAAAGATTTCTTGTGTAATGTGTGTTCCAGTGTTGGAAATCTTGAGACCATCATAATATTCTTCCCACTAAATTCTCTAGTATTGTTTTTTGTTTGGTATTTCGGTCAGGCCTGATGGTGCCCAGGGCTTACTCCTGACTGTGAGTTTCAAAAAAAAAAAATTTGGTGTCCAGAGGTAAGGTAGGATGGGGGGCAGGGGAGGACTACTGGGATCATTGGTGGTGGAGAATGAGCATTGGTGGAGGGTTGGGTACTCGATCATTGCATAACTGAAATGAAAGCACAAAAATTTCTAAGTCTACAACTGTACCTCATGGTGTTTCACTAATAAAAATTAAAAAGAAAAAAAAATCAGTGGCCAAGAGCTGTTCCCTCGATAGAGGGACAAAAGACCAGGGGAACAGAGTAAAAGGGCCCCAGGCAGGTCAGTAGACAGTTTATTTCTCTCTTCTCCCTAGTGTGTAGTCCAATCTCTCCCCTTCCAGCACAATCGTAGTTGTAGTTTTGGTCATAGTACCAGTCATCATAGTTTCCTCATCCTAGTCTCCTTGTAGACCTCAAAAACCTCTTCTCCCAGTCCTCGTCTACATCATAGTCCTGACTACCCCTTACGGCATAGTTATATAGAAATCATGGAGGTGGGATACATATAGGTAGGGTTGAACATTATCATAACAACAGAGTTGTGAAGTCACTCCTTCAGGGAAAGCTCTAGGAGATTAACTCAAGGAAAAAAATCTCATCTAAGGGTTCAGCACTCCAAATTACTAGGAGATCTGCTCAAGGGCGGGATTCTATCTAGGGTATATTACTTTCTCATTTATCCAGTAATCCATTTAACCAATCATAGTGAATTTACTTCTTATAATATTTCTAGTCATTTTGTATGAACACAATAAAAGATAGATATATTAAGCTTAAAGGTTGACTCTTCCTGGGGACATCTCACTATAAATCCCAGACCACAGTTCCCAGGCCAGGTTAGTCTTTCTTAACCCCAGCAAGGTCCTTATTCAGTTACTTCCTTTTGGGTCATGGCAGAGTTTGTTCCATGACCATGTTCTTAATTTATTATACTTATAGCGCTTAGCTTGTTCCCTTTCGATGCCAGGGTAGGTTACAGCTTGCCCTGGGTCCATCCAGTCCCTTTGTCGGGACCCTCCTTTTGAGGGTGTTAGGGAGTGAGGGCAAGTGAGGCTTAAGTCAGGTAAATATGATGGATGTCCAGGAGTAAAAATTATTTGGAGTCAATTAACTCCCATGTTACAAGGCATAGTCTCAACTGTCTTCCGGTGTCTATACAAAAAGGACATTGCTAAAACATGCAGGTGACATAAAGGAAAGAGAAAAGCAATATAGGATTACTAGTGCCTGATGGAATTGGTGTGCCTCTGGGGCACTATTGTGGGAGTAACTCAATAAACCTAAGCTCCCTAAGGGAGGAGCAAGGACAACTAGTGCTATCCAACACTGACCATGCTCAGAGGGCCAGAGGTGTGGCATCCCCTAGGTCAGCCACCTGCAAGGCAAGAGGAGCACCTCAATCCCTGCGCTCTCTCTCAGGTCCCTTTTTTTAGTGTGAGCTTTTAAAAAAAGAACTAGAAGACCTCAGCACTTTATGATCCTTAATTTAGTTCGCCAAATTCCTTTTCCAAAGGGTTGTAGCCGTTTGCCAGTAATAACTGAGCGGAATATCATTGGTTACTTACTGCTCAGCTTCTTGTTACTTCGGGTTTACTCCTCTTTAGAAATAATCACTCCCAACAACCTAGCCAGACTATGAGATGAAGAATCATCTTGTGGGTTCACTATGCATTCTTTCAGGGGTGCGATGGGCACTGGACTGCTTGGGGCTCCTTGGTGAAGAAGTTCTGTGTTTACCATAGAATATGTTTTACTCAAAGCGTCCTCAGGACTGGAGAGAGTCCTCAGTGGGCTGAGTGTTTGTATGCAGGATGTCCAGATTCCATTTCTGGCACCAGTAAAACTGAGCCCTGAGCGCTGCTAATAAGACTGGCCCCAAAACAAACACATAATCTCTGTGAAAATTCTATTTATAGCTCACTTGAAGGATAGTATTGAAAGGTGGTAAATTCTGTCATATTTCGTCTCAGGAAATGAAACGTCTAAAATTTTAGTGTTAGTTTTGTAGGCACCACCAGATTCTCACCAACGATTCGATTTGTTCTTTGCTTGCTTTGTTTTCGTTCCAGGAATATTTTCTTTCACCATCAGTAGATATACAAGAACAGGTTTATCATGTTCAAAAACTCCACCACATTCTAGAAATATTGGTCAGTTGTAAGCTTTTCATTCATCTTCAACATGAGCAGCTTTTTTCTTTAACACAGTAAAGGTAAAGGTAAAGGCCCTCCCGTTGATCGTCGATTTGCTCGAGCGGGCCCGTAAGTACTATTTTATTCTTTAATTACATGAAAATAACTCCGGTTCTAAATCGTTACAGCTAAGGTATAAGATGTACCAGTTTTAGCACTTCCTAGCTTCCTGGAAGTTTTCTTGCACTGAATCTTGGGTTCTCATCTATAAAGAGAATATATTGGGGCTGGATAGTACAGCAGGCACTTTCTCTGCACAGGGCTGACACTATTCCAGTCCCTGACACCCTATTATTGTCCCCCAAGCCTGCCAGGACTCTGGCCCAAAAACTAAACAGAACAATTTGAGCCACGTTAACCATCTTGATTATATCAGTGTAGATCAAATACTGTTACTCTGTCAACAATATCGCTGTGATTGATGAATTTTCCTTTGCTGTCTTTGCGTCAGTGCCTGGGACCCCACACGTGGAGGCAGGAGTGTTGGGAATGACCCTTATGCCTCGGGACAGTGCCAGGGACAGAAACCAAAGCCTCATGTTTGCAAAACACAGGTGCCCTGCCATTGAGCCCCACCAAAATTGCTATATTTGGCGGGGCAACTGGAGTAATAATACAGTGGATAAGCCGCTTGCCTTTCATCCAGCATCCCCGGTTCAATTGTTGGCATGCGTAGGGTTCCCAAGCACCACCAGGAGTAACCCCTGAGCGCTGATGAATATGACCCCCAGAATAAGAGTTACGGTCTCCTTCTGCCAGCCTGGTTGCAGTTGGTCAGTCAGGTCCACCTACTCCAGATTGCCAGTGTCCAGTTCCCAGTGTGGATCTGGGCCTTGGCCTGGAACCCTTTATCTCTAGGGAAAGAAGTCTGCCAGAGTCTTTTTCTAAACCAGACATGGCCTCAGCTGTAAGGGGGAAAGCATGAAAGTCTTCCTGTTTGCAGAATCAAAAAGAACTTTTCTCCCTTAAGAAAGGGAGAGATGGGAGTGATGGCTGAGCGGGCTGAGCAGCTGCTTTCAGGAGCCCCCCAGTACTGCCGGGGAGCCAGAAACAAGACTGGAAAATTATATGTGTTGTATTACTCAGAAATCACGGAAATGTGTTTCATCTTCCTGGCCTCTTGTTTTTACACATTTAATGTTTACTCAGGCTCACCCAAAAAAATTTTTTTGTTTGATGAATGTGCCTGTTCATTTTGAGGCAAATCATTTTGAGATCACTTGTGAAAGAAAACATGCATCTCTGGGTCTGGTAGGGGTCCGTGAGTTACTGCTTTCTTGTCTGGCCTGGAGTTTACTCTTACTGATGCATTGGCCATTACTCAGTACAATGTTGCCCTTGTGAGCTTTAGACCACCAAAAAAGTTTGATCACCAAGTGGCTTGCTTTTCTAAAAGAAGTCTTTTTCTTTCTTTTTTTAAGATCCTGTGTAAAATATTACAAACAAAACCCTCTTGACGAGCAGCACATCTTTCAGCTACCCGTCAGACCAACCGCCGTAAAGGATTTGTACCAGAGGTAAATGGCCTGGTGGCCCGTGTTTCACCTGGGCCTTGTGCGACCATTTCAGTGTTGGTTCCAGGGGGCTCTTTGTCTGGTGGGCTTCTGCCTCTTCCCAGACCTTTCTCTGCTCGCCCTCTCAGCTCTTGTCGTTCTCTCCCTTTGTAATCTCATCTAGACAGAACAGAAGGAATAGCAGATTGGTAAAAGAGACAGAGAGGGAGTGATCCGGATAAGAGGGCAGAATGAGAGGTGTGCCTGTGTGGGCAGCAAGGGCCGTGATGACTCTGTCCTCCGCAGACATTGAGGAGCCACCGTGGGCGAAATCTCTCCTATTCAAATCTCTCCTTCCGGAGAAGGCAGCTGGAATAGAGAAGGGATCGCTAAGAAAAAGGTGGCTGGAGGAATCGGTCGGGATGGGAGAGGTGTGCAGAAAGTAGATAAGGGACCAAACATGATAACCTCTCAGGGTCTGTATTGCAAACCATAATGCCCAAAAGTAGAGAGAGATTATGGAGAATCATGTCTGCCATGGAGGCAGAGGGAGGGTGGGAAAGGGGGGTTATACCGGAGATATTGGTGGTGGGGAATGTACACTCTGGAGTGATGGGTGTTTGATCATTGTGTGACTGTAACCCAAACATGAAAGCTTATAACTAACTCATGGTGATTCAATATAATTTAAAAAATAAAGAAAAAAAAGAACAATAAGTAAACTTAATAAATAATAAAGTTGACAAATAAATAAATTTAAAAACCATGTGGTTTTGACCTGTATTTCTCTAATAGCTACTGTCATTAACCTTTTTTAATTTTCAGTGTAAAAAGTTTCTTAGCTAGCTATGTAACCTTTTGATAGAAATGTTCCTTTAAGTCTTTAAGTACTTTGTCATTTGTCAAAGTCTTTTTTTTGGGGGGGTCATACCTGGGGATGCACAGGAGTTACTCTTTGCTCTGCACTCAGGAGTTACTCCTGGCGGGCGGTGCCCAGCGGACCATATGAGATGCTGAGAATCCAACCCGGGTCGGCCGCGTGCAAGGCAAACACCCTACATGCTGTGCTATCTCTCCAGCCCCTGTCATTTGTCAAATTCTAATTCAGTTTTTTAAAAAATTTTTTCTTGAATTTTCTATATTCCATATACTTAAGCAGATAGATGACTTGCAAATACTTGTCTTGTTCTGTGGGTTGGTTTTGCTTTCTTGGATGGTGTCATTTGAAAATACAACATTCTTGATTTTAATGAACTTTAACTGATTTTTTCCTTTAGTGTTCATACTTTGGTTGCCACATATAAGAAAAGACTGTATAACCCAAAGGAAAAATGATTTGCACCTTTGTATTTATTTTATTATTCACAATTAGTTTTTTATATATATGGAGTTAAATTTTGTATATGGCATGAGGATTTTTGTTCATATGCTTTTTTTTCTTTTGGGCATATCTAGTCATTTGAGCATCATTCTTCGACTAATGATACTTTGTAACATTTTATTAAAAATTAATCTATGGGGGGAAGCGATAGCACAGCGGGTAGGGCATTCGCCTTACAAGTGGCCAACATGGCCGACCCGAGTTCGATTCCTCCGCCCCTCTCAGAGAGCCCGGCAAGCTACCGAGAGTATTCGATATGCCAGACACAGTAACAACAAAGTTTCCAATGGAGACGTTACTGGGCCCGCTCGAGCAAATCTACGATCAACGGGAGGGCCTTTATGGGGGGAAAAATCTCTTCTTCCTCCCTCCCTCTCTTCATTTCTCTCCTCGCTTGTCAGCACCCTCAGAGTTGCTTAGCAGATGTCACCAGTGACCTTCAAGGGTGGGGAGATGGCTTCAGGGACAATACTTAGGCTCTGTGTCTCCCAACAGCAGGTATGAGCTCTGAGCAACTCACTGGGAAGTGTTCCAGCCCTCACACCCCCACCCAAAGGGGGTTTGGTGGGGCCGAGGGGTGGGGGGTAGTTCTCATGTAAGAACTAGTCCACCAATTCTCTTCCTTTAATAAAGAGATTGTTAAGACTTCCACCATTCAACATTTGAACTTGGGCCGTCCATTATTCTGTCATGTAGACATCTCTTTGAATTCAACCTCTCACTGCACTCCCAAGACTGAGAGTGCTCCTCCTCCACCTTCTCTTCCTCTTCTTCTTCCTCTTCCTCCTGTTCTTCTCCCTCTCCCTTCTCGTCCCTCTTTCTCCTCCTCCTCCCACTTGGTACTGGGCATTGAGCCAGGGCCTGGGACAAGCATGAATGTGCTCTGCCCTTTGAGTCACAGTCCCACTGAGAATCCCTCTCAAGTGCTTCCTTTGCCCGCCTCATCTGAGTTTTCACTGGAACTGTCCCCTCTGCTCTCTTCTCTGTGTGACTGATTACATTCCTGCTCAACACTTGACTTGATTTGGAATTTCAATAGGTGACAACTTGCATCTCCATTGTGCTCCAGAGCTGACGGCCCAGGTCCCTGGGTGCCTGTGCAAGTTTCAGCACCAGCACCAGTGTCCTGTAGACGTGCGGGCTCAGAACCCAAGGCCCTTCCCGACACAGGCTCAGTCTCTGCTCAGGCGACCATTGCTAATCTTCACCTAATGCCCCAAACAAATTGGGGTGTGACATGTCACTCGCATTCCTTACGCCCCTGTACACAGTAGCCACTTCCTCCTTACAGACGCCTCACTCAGCGTCTCCTTGCATGCCATCATTGCCTGCTGTAGTGCCTGGTCTTTACATCTACATATGGAGGGTCAGGTGATCTTTTCTGTTTCACCTGCTCCTTGACCTTCCTGAGATCCGAATCCCCCGCTTCCTCCTATCGAAATGGCTTTCAGTTGCTTCAGTGCCCCCAGCCCTTGGGCCCCCACTACTGGCTTCTGCCCTTTTCAGTTGAGGACAGTGTCCATGCCCTCCCACGTCCACCGGGGCCTGTCCTCGCCCTGCAGTCCCCTGATGAGCTCGGTCACCCTTGCCAGGGCCTCCTTTCCTCTGAGGCCAAGCAGGTTCCTCCCAGAATCTTCATTCCTATCCTAGTTTCCCTCCCTCTCATGACTCTGCTATTCTGTAGTTGCTGCTATTGTGGGGGTCGCTCCCAACAGTGTCTGGGTGGGAGTGGTCGGGGTTCTTGGGTGCCCCGGCTCCCACGCAGGTCCGCAGCATGCTCTGCCCTCAAGCCTCTTCCCACGCCCTGTGACTGCGGTGGGGGAGCTTGGAGCTTTGTCACGCGGTGTAAAATGGAGGCAGTAGGGAAAGGGCATGGTTGGACCCCCCACTCCCAGCCCCAGCCCAACTTTGATCTTTTTTTCTTAGTGAGAAGCCACAGAAATGGAGAGTGGAAATAAATAGTGGTCACAAGAAGGTGAAAACTGTTTGGCAGCTGAGTGACAGCCTGCCTGTGGACCATCTGAACTCCCCCAGAGTCGGTAAGAGGGTTTGTGGTACTGGAGGCTGGAGGTAGTGCAGCAGGTGGGGTATTTGCCTTGCACGCAGCTGACCCAGGTTCCATCCCCGACACTCCATACGATCTGAGTATAGGGCCAGGAGTGAGGCCTGAACGTACCGCTGTGGCCCAAAACAAAAGAAAAAGGTTTTCCACTGGAAAATAAACAGTGATCATTTTTGATCATTTTTGTCACTCTTGTGCCTGGTTTTAATTAATTTTCCTGAACTCTAGGTGCACAGTGTATTTATTCGGGGTTGGGGGGAGCAGTAAATAGCACCCTCCTCATCCTGAACAGAGGACAATCACCAGGGCCATGGGAGAGGGGTCAGCCAGCACATTACAGTAGGACAGGGGGAGAGGTCACCCAGTGGAAATGCCACTTACTCCGTATATCCTGGTGGGCAGACTGAGCAGTGGTGAGACCCCCATCAGCTGGTTTCTAAGACTCCCCCAACCTGGCCCATGTCAGTTATAGACAGACTAGGTCTTTGTGTAACTAACTCTCACCAAACTGCCCTCCTTCGGTAAGTCGCCCAAGAAGTTTCATACATATGCTGCTTCTCCATATGAAGCTGTCCTCTACGTGTAAGGGCCGAGTGAGGGCCTTCCAGTACTGCAAGGGTTACGCAAAATCAAATTTTAGCGGTTTAAGGCAAAATAGAAGACTTTAATGGCCCATACCAGTTTGCTGGGGAGTAACTGTAATTGATACTTGTGGAATTTCCAGAAAATATTTATTCTTTCTCCCCAAAAGTATATGTTGTGATATATATATATATATATGTATGTATATGTATAAAACCTCCCTCAACTAGAATGTCTGCCTCTCTGCTCAGATGGTTGAACTGTTAAGTCCTAAAGAAACTGGTGACGGTTCCATCTTCTCTATATAATAAAAAGGCAGGAAGCTCTAGAAAATTAGAAGTCAGGGCTGGAGAGAGTTTAACAGCTCAAGTGCAAGTTTAGAAGGAGATCATATTCAGAAAATGATGAAACACTGATTTCGACTACCTTGTTTTGTGTCGGGGCCACACCTGGCGATGCTCAGTGGGTACTCTTGATGGTGCTGATTGAACCTGGTTTGGTTGCATGCAAGGCAAGCACCCTCCCTGCTGTGCTACCCCCAGGCCCTCAGCTGCTTTTGATTATTCTAAAAGTTCATTTGTACTTGTGGTAGAAAAGCCAGTAAGTTCTGTGTTTCTCGTTACAGATTTTTCTGAGCTAACATTCAATGGTAGCTTGGAAGAGAAGACGTGCTTCACCACCATGATCACCAGCAGCCAAGTGCATTTCAAGTGAAGTTTGTGGGCGGGGCTTGTTCAAGGTAGTGTGTTCATTCTCGGGATACTGTGAGCTGTAGTCAGCACTCACGTTTGAATTCTTTCAGCAACAGAAAAGCTCTAAGTTAAATCCATAAAATTTCTTTGAGGTAATTTATTGAGAAAGGGAAATTGAATTTAGCATAAGCAGGTTGGTTTTATTTTTTGTTCTTGTTTTTGTTGTTTTTGTCTTGTACCAGAGATAACAGGGGTTCAGGTATTTGCCTTGCATGTGACTGACCCATGTCCCCTGAGCACCACCAGGAGTCAGCCCTGAGCACTGCTGGGTGTGATCCCCAAAACTAAAAATGAACAAAAGTTTGTCTTAAATACAGAAATAATGAAGCTAAAGATGTATTTTTGAAAATAAGAATGCAAATTTTTTTCCCCCAGCTCATCTCAGAAAAGGATCTAAGTGGATGCTCATTTACTTGGTATCCACCTAATGCTTTGCCCTGGTTGCCTGAATTTTGTCTATAGATAATTGATTGTCATGTATAGAACAGTACTGAGATGGTGATTTTTAGCTTAAGTACTGTTTCTGGGAAGATTTGGAGTGGAAAATAGTTCATAGAATAGTTTGTGACGATCCCTTTTTGCAAATTGAAAATAAATGCATAGTAGTAAAGGAGTCTAAGCAATAGTAGAGCGGGTTGCCTCTTGCCTTGCACACAATGAATCCAGCTTCAATCTTGAGAATCCCATATGGTCCTCGATCTCTGATTGCAGAGCCAGGAGAAAGCCACGAGAATCACCAGGTGTGGCCCAACAACCCCCAAAAAACGCCACTAAACAAAGACCCCAGGCATTGACTTTGAGAGGGGTAGTATTACAGATGGCTTTAAGTTTTGGTTGCTTTTATTTTCTAATTCTTAAATCCTACTATCTGATCCCTCCTCTTCCTTCTCCTTCCCAGGAAAAAAAAAACAGAAAGAAAAAAAAAAATCACAGCAACTGAAAACAAATGTACATAAACACTCAGAGCAGAGCAGGAAATGGTGATGATTGTCCTCTACCAGCTGCCCCGAAAGCTGCCAAATGACCAACCTCTCAGGTGTGTCTCCGCAGGAGGAGCATCAAGAACACTGCAGCGAGCAGGACACAGAGGGTCAGGATCATGATCTCAGTCACCATCTGCATGGGGCCCCGCAGAGCTTCTGAATGGGAAGAAGACCAGAGCCGAGCATCACTGCACTGCTTCATCTGCAAGCCTGACTCTGCCTGGGAAACTTAGAAGGCATCCCTAAACTCTCTGCTTGGTCTTGTTTGCCATGATAGCGAACCTGGTGGACTTAATCTTATAAAAAATTGTGTGAGGGCTTTGTAAAACATTTCTGAAGACAATGGGATAAAGGATGCCTGAACAGTTCTTCCTTTGATACTGTACTATAAGATCTAATGCGTGCAAGATTAGCATTTGTGTTGACTCTACATTAAACCAAGAATATTCACCTCCAGGTTCCATTCTGTACACTTTTGGTTTCCAAATTAAATTTTTTGTGGTGGTGCTAGAGACTTAGTACAGCAGGTAGAACATTTTTCTTGCACATGTAGGACTGGAGTTCAGTCCCAGCACCATATATGGTTTTCTGAACTCCTGCTAGGAGTAAGCCTTCAGCACAACTAGGGATGACCCCTCATTTTTTTTTATGGTAACTCTTAACATAAGTGAGAAGAGTCACAAGTGAACCTATTTTGTGCGTGTTAAGAGTGTGGACACTTAGATGCCAGGCCTGCTTTTCACCTCTGCCAGGGACCGTGTTCCCGGAATGAACAGCACTGGACCTATCCCGAGGGGTTCCTTGGCCGCGCGGTCATTCCCGCATCATGTCTGCAATAATTTCATCTTAGTTTGAGTGTAGCTCTGTTGTTCGGTTGTCTGAGTAGGGAAAAGGGGACAGTGACCTGCTAGCCTGTGACAGTAGCCAAGTTGGCTGGATTTAGTTTAACACTTTCTACCACTGTGACATATTGAGTTAATTGGATTTTTTTTAAAGAGAAGAAATGTTTCTGATTATCCTTAAAAGGAGGAAGCAGGGAGTATGGTGCTGCCAGCAGGTCAATCTGTTCCTGTGAGGTGAGTGCATCAGCAGCCTGATGGCGCCTTCAGACCTCCAGATACCCCAAAATTGCTGCTGTGCCTTTGGCCAGACCCCAAAAACTTGGGGCAAAGTTTACCAAGAAAGTAAATGGCCAAAAGTTAGGTATGTGGGAAACACACCCACAAACCACCTCCGGCTCAGCTATATAATTGGAGGCAAGGCCTCTTTGGTTCTTGATTGAACTGCTTAATGGCCATGATCCCAGAGAGTCAGAAACGAATCTCGGAACCCAGTGGCTTTAGGTAGAAATGCGTCCGGTCTCTGCAGTAGGCTACCAGTGCTGGGCCAACCCAGGTGGGAATAGGTTTCGTGTTTTGGCCTACTCTGCCTGGCGGCCCAATGGCTGCCATCCTTCAGAGGCCACTGGATAGTCACATTTGGGCCCCCAGTGAAGAGACACACAGGGCCTCATGGGATGGGGGTGGAGCCGGGCCTGTCCTCCCCACCCCAACAAGACCCCAAGTCATCACCCACGAACGGCCTCTCTGGCTCCTGATCAAGCTGCTAACGGCCTTGATCCCAGAGACTCAGAAACAAATCTTGAAACCCAGCAGCTTTTGGCAGAAATGTGTCCGGACCCCACAGTAGGTTACTGTTGCTGGGCCACCCCAGGGGGGAAAGGGTGCTGTCCCTCCGCCTGTTTCCTTCTGGCAGCTCTGTAGCCATCATCCTCCAGAGGCCACTGGACAGTCAGGCTTGGACCCGCAGTGACGAAACTTGTTGGGCCTCACGGGATGGGGTGGAGCCGGGCCTGTCCTCCCCACCCCAGAGAGACCCCAAGTCATCGCCCATGAACGGCCTCTCTGGCTCCTTATCAAGCTGCTCAACGGCCATGTTCCCAGAGACTCAGGAGCAGATCTCGAAACCCAGTGGCTTTTGGCAGAAATCCCTCCAGATGTAAGTGTTAAAATTTCGGAATTTCAAAATCCCGCAGCCACTACTGCAGCCACATGACATCATATGTTATTCATAACCAGCAATAGAAAACAAATTGTCTACTGTTGCCTTTTCAGCAGATCTGAGTGTTGGGGTAAAATCTAAAAAAATAATGGTGGGTCTGGTGTCGAAATATTGAATGTGATCAAAGTAGAGAGAGAGTAACGTGGAAATCATCTGCCCCACAGGGAGGGGGAGAGTGTGGGATGGGGGTATACTGGGGTTTTTGGTGGTGGAGAATGGGCACTGGTGAAGGTACGGGTGTTTCATTGTATGACCGAGACTTAGACCCAAAAGCTTTGTAACTGCTCTCATGGTGATTCAATAAATAAAATTATAAAAAAATGGAAAAAGAAAAAAAAGTAAGGTGGAGTTCATGCACAATTCAATCAGCTAATCAGTGGCTGAATAAATAGCAGTACTCCTACAAAAAAAAATGGAGGAAGCACTGTAGCACTGTCCTCCCGTTGTTCATCGATTTGCTCGAGCGGACCCAGTAACATCTCCCTCGTGAGACTTGTTGTTACTGTGTTTGGCATATCAAATACATCACGGGAAACTTGCCAGGCTTTGCATTGCGGCCTAGATACACTCGGTAGCTTGCCGGGCTCTCTGAGAGGGGCGGAGGAATCAAACCCGGCTCAGCCGGCCAGCTGCACACAAGGCAAATGCCCTACCGTTGTGCTATTGCTCCAGCCCCAAAGGAGGAATAAAAAATTTAGTGGCCAGGTAGATAGTGTAAGAGACAAGACACTGCCTGCACGGCGTGGCCCAAGTTCCATCCCAGGCACCACAGGAGTCCTCTAAGCATCACCCAGGGACAGCCTGGCAGCTGCCAAGCACCACAAGCTCCTGCACCCCAGCTCAGAGATGGGGCATGTGTGGGCACCTGGGCATAGCTGCAGCTGCTAGGGGAGGAGGTAAGGCAAGCTTGGCCACACCTGACTGCGCAAGACTTCCTCTGGACTCTGCTCAGGAACACTCATGGCAGTGCTCACTAACTACACCATCTCTCCAGCCCCTGGGCCATGATTATGCAACATCTCTGGTACTCTGTTGCCTAAGAAATGCTCTTGGGGGACTGAAGAGCGTACTCAGTAGGCTGGAGTGTGTAGCTGTCTGCAGGAGGCCTGGGTGGATCCCCTGCTCCTGGTTGACACAGTACCACGCCAGGAGCAGCCCCTAAATACCACTGGGTGTGACCAAAGAACAGAAAGCAAGTACTGTTGGGAGAACCAGGTCCCTCCCCTACTCCCTGCTGTATCACTGTAGAGCTAATAGTGCTTAATAGATACTTGCTAATTAGGTGGCTAGCTGGAGGATTCTGTCATCCTTTCCGTTTTGTTACAATAGTTTAGTTTCCCTTTCTTTCACAAACCCCATTGTAACAAGTCAAGTCATAAATTCACATAAGTCAGAAGTAAAAGCAGTTCACTGGCAGTACATATGTACATTGTTTGAATGCTCTGTGTTTTTGAGGCCTGGCATTGATTCCTGGTACCCCAAGACAAAAAACCCACAAGCAATAAAACAATTCTTTTTTTTTTTTCACTCATGCTCTGCCACTGAATGGTAACTGGGGGGAAATGGAAATCTTTTTTAATCTTGTCGTTTGGAAGACTGACTTCAGGTCAGTGCATGTCTCAGGAGTCTAGCAGTTATCAAAGACTGCTGAATCCACTCACCTCAGCAAGCATCTGGTTGCTGACAAAGCAAGTTTCCAAGGCGTTGGTGTGCCAACTTTCCACCGAACACAAGCGAAGTCACAGTGTCCTGGTCAGTTTCCTCTTTTTTTTTTTTTTCTGTTTGAAATCACTTTAAAAAAAAAGAACTATTCTATTTATTTTTTGGCTTTGGGGGTCACACTCAGCGATGCTCAGGGTTGACTCGTGGCTCTGCACTCAGGAATCACTCCTGGCGGTGCTTGGGAAATATATGGGATGCTGGGGATCGAACCCAGGTTGGCCACGTGCAAGGCAAGCGCCCTACCCCCTGTACTATCGCTCCAGCCCCTTGAAATCACTTTTGAACCATGTAAGAAATTAGATTTTGAGGTTTTATTCTTTTGTTTTGGGGCTGGAGCGATAGCACAGCGGGTAGGGCGTTCGCCTTCAAGCGACCAACATGGCCGACCCAAGTTCGATTCCTCTGCCCCTCTCGGAGAGCCCGGCAAGCTACGGAGAGTATTCGATATGCCAAACACAGTAACAACAAAGTCTCCAATGGAGACGTTACTGGGCCCGCTCGAGCAAATCGACGATCAACGGGAGGGCCTTTACCTTTACCTTTACCTTATTCTTTTGTTTTGGGGTCCTACCTGGCAATGCTCAGGGGTTACTCCTGGCACTGTGCTCAGGAATCACTCCTGGTGGTGTTCGGGGGATCACATGAGATGCCGGGGAATCCAATCCATGTCGGTTATATGCAAGGGAAATGTGCTACCATTGTACTATCTCTCTGGCCTCCAAATTAAGTTGTTTGTTTGCTTTTTAATCTGCTTGCAGGACCAGAGTCATTGTACAAGCAGATAAAGCACTTGCCTTGCATGTAGCTGGCCCTAGTTCCATCCCCGGCACTGTATACGGTCCCTAAGCACAGCCAGGGTCACTCCTGAACATACGCACAAGAGAAGCCCTTGAGCACTATCAGTTATGACGCACCCCCACATGCCCCCCTCCAACTTGATCACTTGATCACTTGACTTCCCGTTAATCGTCGATTTGCTTGAGCGGGCGCCAGTAACATCTCCATTTTGTCCCTGTCGTGTGCTAGTGTAGCCCAATGGCATCTGTTCGCGCCAGGAACATGAAGAGCCTCAAACCGATCGTTCATGATCTTGATGAAGAAGTCTGACCATCTGGTAGGTGGGCGGCCACGCAGTCTTTTGACATCCCGTGGAATCCAGTCTGTAACAGCTCTAGTCCAGCGGTCGTCTTTAAATCTCATTACGTGACCAGCCCATCTGATTTTTGACACCTTGGCAAACGAGACAGCGTCCCTGATTCTTGATCATCAAAGGATGTCGGAACTCCGGATTC